ATACACGGGCAAAAAAGAGTGGCTTCTGGCTGCTTTGAGGGCATGGCATACAGATGACGCACCCCCCAGATTGGCAGGAAGCCACTCCGGCACTGCCTGAGGTGGCCTCAGGCTGCTGAAAAAAGAGAGCGGGGGAAAAAGCACTCCTTGCCTGCAGTCTGTTTGCGACCAAGGCAGCAGCCTACTTTAAGAGCAGGCAATGGTCCTCAGGTGATTGGCAAGCCTCAGGCCACTCTATCATGCCTGTCTTCTTGATCCCATTAATATCTGTTTTTTTCTTTTCACCTAAAATTAACGAGTCAAAGAAAAACATTTCAATGTGAATTAAACAGTGTAATCGCAGTTTTTACAAAATAGTCCTAGATTGATGCCTAAATTGATACCCTCATTATGGATGACTGGACATGACTGGTGATAACAGTGACTGAAAATGACAAGAGGATTCCTCAGCTCTATTCTTTCTCTTATTTCTAAATGTCAGCAGATACCATTTCTGCTGGGGAGTTTGCAGCTGAAGCACCAAGTGGACAAGTTGCACCTAGCAGTTTGCCTAGGGACCCAATTGTAGAAGTGAGCATGGTCATGCTTCAGAACTCGGGAACATGGCTACATCCACTGGTATAATTCATGCCCACTGGTATAATCCATTTTTCAGATGCATGTAGAGGAAAGTATGGTCTCAAACCATAACTTGTAAAGATATGTCTTCTTCTTAATCATGTATTGCATCATCACGTTTGGTTTATGTTCCTTAACTACATTCACTGGCTAAACCTGGATGGAAGATGCCATGTCACAAGACAAGACAGATTAGCCCATGATCCTAATAAAAAATGGAGATTTACAGTTCTAAATGTCCTACCGAGAATATGAATTGTGATAAATAATAGAAGGAGGAAATCTGACTCTGGGATATGTGCTTGGACTATGAGAAATATGAAGTGGGAAGAGTTAAAGTCAAATAGAGAGTAGGATCGTAAATCTGTATTTATTTATGTAAATATTTTATCCTATCCTTTATATACAGATATAATAACATCAGTTTAGGACAATGAATGATAACCATTAAAATATGTTAAATTATGTATCACTTGTAGGCTAGACTGCCACTGTACCAACTAAAGTAGATTCATTCAATGTGGAATGGTTAGTCAGCACATAGATAGGATTAAAATAGGATTTATGTTAATGTCAGACAATTTAAAACAATTTAAAATAATATAGCCATACTTATTTGCAAAATCAATTAAGCCCTGAAGGCTTTTTAAAAAATGACCAGATCTGATTTAATGCCGGAATGAAAACAGCATTTGCACCTATCAGGACTCAAAAGGGATGACAGTCCACACATGGCCTCACAGCCCAAAAACCCCACAAAGACCTATGGATGTCGGCTGTGAAAGCCTTCAACTTCATAATGGCAGTAGTCAATCTTATCCTTTCATATGAGGACAAATAATTCCTCTAGTTGCCCTTCCCCATTGGAAGAATCAGAAATATTTCTATGCAGTTTTCATGCATTTTTCACATATTCCATAGTATTTCAGGAAATCTATCTTACTGTGATGAGAAATGTACTTGGGCTTTTTTAAATGTGAAAATATATGTGTGTAGAAGGGGAGATTTGTGCAAAAGCAAAACACAAGTTTGTGCACAAAAAACAAAGCACACTTTTTGTGATAAACCAGTTCATTTGGGCAAGGACATGATTTTGGCATAATGACCACTCTATATTTTCAGAACCAGTTTTTTACAGGCAAAAAAAAAAAGTGCTTTGTATCAAAAGCACATTTTTCACACAAAAAAGTGATGTTTCCAAAAATAGTCATAGATTTGTTCTCATGTGCAGAACTGGTAGGGCCTTTTAAATTATTTTTGATGGGAGGGTTGGCAGTATAAATATTTGATTAAAAAAACAATAAACAAAAACATTTGTTCCTAGCAACAGTGGATATTTTACACATTTTTTTCTCACAAAGTCATTTTTTGCACAAAAGCACTGTTTCCAGAAACACACATTGATTTTGGTGTGTGAGCATAAACCATGTCTTTTTTCAAGAATATCTATTCTTGATAGGTGCAATCATTTTGTTTTGTTTTTGAAAGATCTGATTTAGACTTGCAGCATAATGACAATGTTGCTTAATTTTGAGAAACTGCCACTTCAGTTTGTAGGTGATGGACACTATTTTTTGACATCCTTCCACTTTAGCAAAAAAAAAAAAAAAAAAAAACCTAGAAGAGGAAAATTGCTATATTGTGTGAAAAGGTATAGTTTAGCCTTCTCTGTCCTAAGCTAATTTTCACTTGCAGTGAATTTTCTTTTACCATTAGAACATTTTTGTCGTTTAAATAAAAAAATCAGCAGCAACAGCAAACACCTCTGATATCCAACTTCCTTCTGAAATTGTCCAATCCAGGTTATGTCACCACTTCATTTTTCTCCTTGTCTGGATCCAATCATACTAATCTTTTCCTTCCTGATACCCGAATTTACTTTAAACGGCTAATCATTTCTGGAATCTTCTTGACCTTGCTATTTCATGGTAATTGGCACTTGAGTATTATATGATATGTAAAAAAAAAAAAATGGTTTCCTTTTTATTACTTCTCAGATTAACTGCTTTTTGGTTCCTCTAAATTATTTCTTCTTCTCCTATTAAGAGATGAGGTAAATATAAGCACTCAATTTACCTCCTCTGTTTGATTCATTATGCTTCATTTCTTTGCCTTGACCCCAATTTCCCTTCCTTTCTTTGTCTCTACTTTAAATTGTAAACCTTCTCTATTCACTGTTTGCTCACAATGAAGTTATAGTCATTTTCTTAGCCTCTATTCTTTTTGTTTCATGTTATGCTGTGCCATTTTTTAAGACAGAGGTTCCAGAGCTCTTGAAACAGACAAAATATCTCCTTTACCTTCTTCACCCCCAGAGATTTTGCAGAGCCAGGGAGAAGAAAGAGCTCCTGGGAAGAAATCAGTTTTAATTTAAAATGTGTTTTGTTTTCCCCATGTGAGTTGAGACATTTGTAAAGCAGTGTTATCCCTTCCCCCAAAGGAGAAATGGAGCTCTCTCTGCTTCTTGTAATCTGTTTATTTTAGACCTGAAAGTAGTAATCGATTAATCAGTGTGACAGATGAACAGTTTCATTAAATAATCAGGAGCATAAACAATGAATACAACTGGAAGGGCTGAAGGGACAGTGCTAGAAGACAAGCTCACAAGATTCAATTTAAGATGCCACATGTGGTGATAGATAAATGATTGATGGATAGATAGATGAATAGATGGATAGGCAGACAGGCAAACAGATATTATAGCTAATTACAGTTTAGTTTTGCTATAAGAAGAGAAGCCTGGGGGCAGGGTGACTAGGGGCCTTTACAGACTGCTAGAAATAGTGCAACTTGAAGCCACTTTAACTGTCCTGGCTCAGGTCTAAGGAATCGTGGGAACTGTAGTTTATTGTGGAACCAGAGCTCTCTGACAGAGAAGGCTCAATGTCCCAGAAAAAAAAAATTCCCATGGTTCCCTAGCACTGAGCCAGGATAGTTAAAGGGGCCTCAAGCTGCACTATTTCTGCAGTCTGTAAAGGCTTAGATGAGGAAGAACTTGAGGAAGCTCAAGAGTGGAAGGTCAAAGCTGAAGAGTAATGAAAGAGGTTAAGCAGGCATGTGGGGTAACCAGAAGCAGGAGACAGAGAAAGTGTGGGGTGGGGATTATCATGAAATAAGGAGATAAAATGAGTGGATTGTGTATTCTGGGAATATGGAGTGAGATAGGATTATGAGGTTGGGGGATCCTGATGCACAGATAAAATACTGGAGAAATGCTGGAGAAAAAGGTGAGGACAGAAAGAGGAAAGAGTCAAGATAAGCAGAGAAATAGAACAGGGGTAGGCAACCTTTTTGAGCTGGGGGCCGGGTTGTTGTCCCTCAGACAATTGGGGGGGGGGGGCGAAGCACAATATATATATATATATATAATTAAAATTAAAAAAATTGAAAAATATGCATGCACACTCTCTCAGCCCCGGAAAAGCCATGGCAAAACCCCTGTAGAGATTTTGCCAAGAAAACCCCATGAACAAGTAATAACAACAATAATCAATATCATCATGGTGGGCGACGGCGGCGGCTGGGGACAGCGGTGGCGGCAGTGGCAGGACCAGCCTGGGGCCGGTCCAAAGGCCTCAGGGGGCCGCATCCAGCCCCCGGGCCTTAGGTTGCCTATCCCTGAAATAGAAGTTTTATTCAGGCATGCACAAATCCTCTATTATTGCTTTCTTCACAGGGAGCATGACTCCAATCCTCTATTATTGCTTTCTTCACAGGGAGTATGACAGTCTGAAAAGGAGGCATCCTTTAAGGGTACAGCCTTTCCACTGAAGCAGAAACTCTGAATGCTCAATGCTTGCAATGCTTTCATATACAGTATTAAAAGCATACAATGCATGCAGACACAATGCGGATGAGGAGGTGGTGTGAGATAGAGGGCCTTTACACACAGAGAAGGCTCATTGTCTCAGAAAAAAATACAGTTCCCATGATTCCTTAGCACTGAGCCAGGACAGTTAAAGTGTCCCGAAGCTGCATTATTTCTGGCAGTTTGTAAAGGCCCAGAGTGAATGCAGAAGGGAAGTGTAGATGATCTATGAGGCTGATGAAGGTGTCAAGGCTGGGTGTCAAAAGCTTCATGGGTTTTAGGTTTCCTTGCCTTAAGTCAGCTATTTTTACCTCTTAAATTACACATTTAAGGATAACAGTTTGTTTTATACTTTCTGCCCTATGGAATAAGTTTCATTGTCCCTTCAACATCTGTCATGAAGCACAATTGCAATTACCAGGAGCAGCAGCACCTGATCTATTGGAAAAGACCAGAAAGAATGTGGCAGCAGTCAAATACCTAAAACAACTTTAGAGTAATTTTATTTTCAATTAAACTCAGAAAGGTTCTGGTCAGCAGCTACAAGAATGCTATCTATCTATCTGAGACCCAGTGTCATGTAGTGGTTTCAGCATTGGACTACAACTCAGAAGACCAGGGTTCAATTCCCACCATGACCATGAAACCCACTGACCTTGGGCTAGTCACACTCTCTCAGCCTCAGGGAAAGGCAATGACAAACCTCCTCTGAACAAACCAAGAAAACCCTGTGATAGGTTCATCTTCAAGTCTCCATAAGTTAGAAACAACTTGAAGGCATACAACAACAACAACAACAACAACAACAACAACAACAACAGCAGCGGCGGCGACAGGACCGGCCTTGGGCTGGTCCAAAGGCCTTGGGGGGCCACATCCGGCCCCTAGGCCTTAGGTTGCCTACCCCTGATCTACACATTTCATTTTTTTGCCCTAAGTGCAGTACCTTACATTTCTCTGTGTTGAAATTTTTGTTAGCTTTGGCCTCTGAGAGGATATAACTTGCCCAAGAGCACCAGTGGGTTCCCATAGCTGAGTAGGGATTTGAACCCTAGTGCCCAAACTTGAATACCATGCTAGCTCACTAAAAATCATAGCTTCCCTTAAATAAAACCTGAAATTTACAGTTTAGTATAAATGCAGCCCATAAATGCAGAAATTATCCAGGATGTTTTTTCAGGGTAATATGCCCTGAGAAAGAAACTTTAGGTTAAAAAAGAGAAGGAAAAGGTGAGGAAACAGTATTAAAGAAATCTTTGACATTAAAAGTGAATCTGAGGTCTTCAAAAGATGGCAGTAATCTTGAGGACCAAAGGGTAATTTCTATGCGGTATAATAAACATATTTTTTCCTCTCTGTAACTTGGCTGGCACTTTGTGACTTCTATGCTTTTATTTCCAAAAGTTCCCATTTGTAGCAGGCAGGCAGAGAAAGGAGAAAGTATCATTCATCATTACACCAAGAAGGGTAGAAGTCAAGAGATTTAGAAATATATCCCCAATGGCAGCCAATTAGTCATTTCATTTACTACTTGTCTACACACCTGTTGTTAAGTAATATTTTGGTGCTTGCCCTCCCTAAAGGCCCAGTAGAACTTTATGAAATAGTGTGACAAAGGGAATTGTCTTGACACAGTTCTTGTTACAAAATATGCCTTTGATGGCAACTTAATCAAAGGATGCCATGAGCTCCATACCGTCAATAAATACAATGGGGCCTGAACCTCTGGAGCATTGTCTCAGCTATAAATCTTCTGAATTTTTTTCCTTACTGAAAGCAACAACACCACTTATAAATTTAGTGTCCTCTACTGGAATAGTATAAAGCATAGGATATCATTAGTGGTCTCTTTTTAGGATTATCCAGAAACATAATCTGCATTAGGATAATCCTAAAATTGCATTAGGGCACACTGATAGACAGAAATAAGAATGTGTATACATACTACATGTAAACCACCTAAAGTGAAATATCGTCTTTTGTCATGGTGAAGTAGTTTCTCATCTATGTATTAGTTGAGAAGAAATAATTTTCATGCACAACCCATGAGTATAATAATAATTGCCAATATAAATCTCACTTGCATCAACATGTGAATGCATATTTAATTACACAGGTCTCTGCAGTATTACAGCTATGGATATAATGTAAAAGGTGATTATGTGCAAACATACTTTGGAGTGTAGGTGATTATTTTCCCCTAATAAACCTAAATGTAAGAACATATTTTAAAAAGCCTACAGTTTTCAAGAATATAGGGCTTTTGAAGTGTTGTGCCTCAAGAGAAGAACAACAGCTTTGTAAGTGTAAGCTCACAGATAGCTACCTTTTCTGCAAGGAAATAAAAACAGTACACATAAGGGATAAGTGAATTAGTATACTCTAGATGTTTAATCAATGACTCTCATAGTGTTGTGGAATTCCCCAAGAACCAGATCCAGGAGTCCAAATTTTG